CCTCTCGGGCGCCTCCTCCTCCTCCCTGCCTTCCTCCCCATCCTCTTCGTCGCCGAACGAGGTGATGGCGCTGAAGGATGTGCGGGAGGTGAAGGAGGAGAACACACTGAATGAGAAGCTTTTCTTGCTGGCGTGCGACAAGGGTGAGAGCTAGGCCCCTTCCTCCGCCTCCGGACGCCCCTGCCCTCCCCTCCCTCGTCCTCTCCCCTGCCCTGCCCCAGCTGCCTCCGGGCGCTCCCTCTTCCCCCGGCGCCGAGCGTCTTCCCGCCGCGCCGGCCGCCTGGCTCGGGCATCCCCGCATCGCCTCTGCCCGGCGAGTGAAGCGGGGGGCGCACCCTCCGAGCGCGGCACCGGGGTGGGGGGCGGCTCCGGCCCGGGCCTCCCTTCGTGGGGTCCGGTGTTGAGGTAGCGCCGTGGGAGCCCCCGACCCCAGAGTTTTAGCCCTTCTGTGCTGCTGACCCCGTGAAAGACCTGGTCTATCTCTCCGGGTCTTGGTTTACCTCGGGGAGCCGAGGCTAGTTTCGGACCTTGCAGTCCGAAAATTCCATGACCTTGCCTTAAGATTCCTCGTATTGAGGGCTCTCACCTGGTTTTTGTTTTTCTTAAAAACAGCATCAAAGCTTCTGTGTTATTTCGCTTCAGCTGCCCAGTGCCTTGGCCAGGGACTGTGGACTGGCAATAGGTGTCTGAATATCCTAGGCGATTGAAATAAGGACAGGGCTGGAGAAATTCTGCCTTAGTTCCCAAAACTTTGTCCAGATTTACGGAATATCCTTGATAGTTCGTGCTTTTTCTTGAAGAGAAAGGTTTGTTGCCTCGATCCTTCTTTAGAAGATAAAGATAGTGAAAAATCATTCCAGGAATTACGGGGCAAAAATATGTGGAATATATTTAGTGGGTTTTAAGTCTAGAAATTGATCATTTTTATGGTCATATTGACTCATTTCACGTAAGTGTGCTTTCTAGTGATGCATATAATAAACGGAATAGGAAATTGTCCTAAGACTGTTTTTATTTCCTACATGAAAAAAATACTAAAATTTTATATTTCTAAATGTATGCAGCTTGCTGTACAATGGCCATATTCACGTGGGAAAACTGTTACAACCATGCAAACTTCCAAAACATAAACTTCCAAAGAGCAGTTTACACTGTGGAAAGATGAACTACAGAGGATTTTTTGTTTGGATGTGTGTGTTAATAAATGACAGCCCCCCGAACCTCTCTTATTGCTTTTGGAATAGGATTTTATTTACACAACTTTTTGAAAATACATTGACGTGTAAACAGAGTCTACCTATGTCTGTTGTCAAACCACTTTTATGTTCTTATGTAATAATATTAGATATTATGAAAGCATTAGCTAAAGTTCGCCTTGGACACTACTTTGTGTAGTTCTGGAAATATAAAGAAACATAGCATATATATGTATAACACCTCAAAAATATGGTGTATAGACTATGTAAAACTATTTAGTATTGCTAGAGTAGCTTACCTGAGTTCTCTTTCCTCAAAAATCCTCTGTATGGGGAAGAGGGAAAGATTGTGTTTTACTAGAGTGAGAAAGTGGTTGCTATATCTCCTTTGGCTCACTGTGCTATGGTTATTTTATAGCAAACAGTATGTTAGGAAAGGAAAGTTGATACTTCTGTCAAACTGAGGACAAAGAAATAAAATGGAATATCGTTGAATAGGTACTTATATGGTGTGTGTATTTAGGATTATTGGATGACATATCTCAAGCAAAAGAGAGTTTTAATTTACAACAATTTAAAGCCTATCCAGCAGTACTAGTTGAAACACCTTGATATTCTTTGTCATTTTCACATTTTATAACACCGTTAAGATCCTTGGAAGCCGGGCTCGGTGGCTCAGCCTGTAATCCCGCGCCTTTGGGAGGCTGAGGTGAGTGAATTGCCTAGGCCTGTGGTTCGAGACCCGCCTGGGCAGGCGAGACCTCATCTCTACAATAAATCAATAACTCAAAAAATTCACCGGGAGTGGTAGTGCGCGCCTGTAGTTCCACCTACTGGAAGGCTGAGGCGGAAGGATCGCCGGAGCCCAGCAGGTCGAGGCTGCGGTGGCCGGGAGTGGCCACTGCACTCCAGTCTGGGTGACAGAGTGAGACTCCAACTCAAAATAAATAAATAAATAAAAATAAAAATAAATCCTTGGAGATGGCAGGCATGGTGGCTGAAGGCTGTAATCCCAGCATTTTGGGAGGCCGAGGCAAGTGGATTGCCCACGCCCTTGGGTTTGAGACCAACCTGGGCAACTTGGTGAGATGTCGTCTCTACAATATATCAAAAAGTTGGCTGGGCTTGGTAGGGCGTGCCTGTATTTCCATATACTTGGAAGGCTGAGGCGGAAGGATCACCTGAGCCCAGCAGGTCAACGCTAGGGTGGCCATGAGCGTGCCACTGCACTCCAGCCTGGGCGACAGAGTGAGACTCCAACTCAAAAAAAAAAAAAAGATCTTTGGAGAGTTTTGGCTTTTGGGGGTGGGGTGGAAACTAAATATCATGTTTTCTCTATTTATAAATTAAACATTTAAAAAGTGAGTGAGATAAATAGGTTTTTTTCTGCTTCAGGCATATTAAAACAAGTTCTTGAGTTAGAATTGGGAAAATGGCATAGTTCTTACACATACTTATGGAGTACATTTAAAAATTTGAGTTATAGGAATATTATTTGTTTACATGTTTGTATTCACCTTTTTTAGTGTTACCCAAACAAAATCTAACAGGGAAAACTTTTCCTGAATTACCGGTAGCTCACACTATTACATTGGTGCCTTCATCGGACCAAATGGCAAATATTTACTAAAGCAGCTATTGGAGTAGAGTGCTCATACTTTTCATGGATGATTTCATTTAATCCTCCCAACCCATGAGCCATACCTGTTGTTATCCTCATTTTATTTTTAATTAATTAATTATTTTAAGGGACAGGGTCTTGCTCTGTTGCCTAGGCTAGAGTCACATAGCTCACTGTAGCTTCAATTCCTGGGCTCAAGCAATCCTTCCACCTCAATCTTCAGAGTAGCTAGGACTACAGGTGCCCGCAACCACACCTAATTATTATTATTATTTTTTAATGTTTGTAGAGATGTGGTTTTACTATGTTGTCCAGGATGGTCTTGAACGCCAAATGATCCTCTCACCCTGGCCTCCCAAAGAGCTGGGATTACAAATGTGAGCCACTGTACCCAGCCCTCATTTTATAGATAAGAAAAATGAGGCTTAGCGAAATTTTAAAATTATTTGCACAAGGTTACATTGGTAAGAAAGTAGTAGAATTGGGATCTATCTTGAGCCTGCACTTGTAACCACTATGTTATATCTGTCTGTAGTTGAATGAATGAAAAACATTTGTGTAGAAAAGGCACATCCACATTTGGACTTACTAATTAAAATCACATATGCTATATATGAGTGTTTTATAAGCCTTGATATCTGTGTATTACATTTGTCCAATAAAGATAAAAAGCAAGCATGGTACTTCAGTAGTACCAGAGCAAATCAACTCTATGGTGTTCTAAAACATCTCATTCTTTTTATTTAGCATTCTTATTCTGCATGTGAAAAATGTTCATAACATATTCTATTTAGGAAAAATTTAGGAATCCCTAAAGCAAAAGTTGTGGAGACAAGATTGTTTTGTGTACGTTAGTGGATGGATTGTCCCTTGAAAGATGTACACAGGTTAAAGAGCAAACAAAACATGTAAGAAAAAAGGAAAAGATTTTATAGTTTGTCATAGCTCCCCTTTATGTAAACGAGTTCAATAGATTTTGGCAACTAGTGATCCAGGTATCTGCCACTTAGTAATGGCTCTCACTGATCTACAAAGTGGGTCATGATCATATCAAAGGCAACACTAAATCCTTTCTTTGTATAAACTTTAGAAAAAGTAAATTGAAAGTTCCTGTGCCAATGAAATAAAGTTAAGTCTGTCCCCCACGAAAGAAATTCTCAGAAAGCATATTCATGTTCTTTTTAAACATAGAACTCTAAAATTCAAAGGTAAAGATTAATTAAAACAAGAACTGACTATAAATATGTTGTTTTATGAAATATTAAGTAGTGATTCTTGCCACCCCTGTCGTTTTCCTCTCTCGCTGAAAGTTAGTATGATAATGGACCTCTTTTTTTTGTGGAAATCTATGGTATCACTCAGGCCTGCTGACCAGAGAAAGGGTAAATAAGTTTGTTTAGAAAGCACCTAAACTCCGTATAGCTTGTGATAACTGTTCCCTTTTAAAATAACTTGAGTTAGCTTTTAGTATATATTGGCAAATGTAAACCTGCATAAACACTTTAATTTGCTGATGATCAGGAATGTTCTTGTGCAGAAAAAGGAAGTTTGAAAGGATTCAGTCCCTGCCAACCCTCCATGGAAAGTATTTTAGGAAATTTGATTTGCAGTTAATGATTCAGGAGTCTCTTCTTGAAATTTCACCACGGGTTTAGGAGAAGGATGGAGAGAGCAGAATTTCACACTTTGGGACTCAACCTAATCTCAGTGGCTTGTGTCGCCTTTGCGATAAGATTTGCTGTATTGTAAGGCTAATTTTTTATTTATTGTAGTGGCGAGGTCTCACCAAGTTGCCCGGGTGGGTCTTGAACCCACGGGTTCAGGCATTCTGGCTCTCCTCAGCCTCCCAAAGTGCTGGGATTATAGGCTGAGCCACAGAGCCTGGCTATAGGCCACATTCTACAAACATTTCACAACTTGTCATATTCATAGCACTTAAGTGCTTAAGCTTTTCAAATAACCAATGTTTTAGAGTGCACTAGTTGAGAAATGTTGCTGTAGGGAATGGCTCATTGTTATTTTAACAACAACAACAACAAGACTCAAGTTGCCAAAATCTTGGTGGCCAATTCATCTATACCAGACTAGTCACTGAGCAGCTAGCTGCCAGATATTTCTATAATACTGGCATTTCTTTATAGTGATCTTGCAATTGTGTTTCTTTATATTATGTTTACTTTACTGGTCTTTTTCATGTCATCATCAAAATATACTTATTAAGTTCTTAGTTGTGTTAAGACACTGGAAAAGTACTATATCAAGAAATTATTGACTATATCTACGTAATGGAGATGCTCCCTTGTGCTCTAGTGAGGAGCAGTAAGGA